AACTGATAGAAATAAGTGCTATCGGTTTAGACCACAAAAAAATATCATAGACTAAGTTCCTTAACCATTCAGCTTCTTTACTAGCAGAATGTAACACAACAAACTCAGATTCCATTGTTGAGTTTGTAATGCAAGTATGCTTCTTGGAAGCCCAGGAAATGGCACCCCCTAAGCAATAATACCCAACCAGTCGTTGAGGAATGATCCTCTAGGTTGGTTATCCAACTTGCATCCGAATTTCCTTCCAAAACCGAAGGATTTACCAAGTAACTCAAGACATAATCCATGGTTCCTTTGAGATACTTAAACACTCTATTCACTGTTTGCCAATGTTGAGCATTAGGATTTTTAGTGTACCTGGTCAATTTTCCTACAACAAAAGCAATATCAGGTTTGGTACTTGTCATTTCATACATCAAACTACTAATGGCCTTAGATTATTCTAATTGTGAAATAGGAGTTCCTGTGTTATCCATTAATTTCACACTTGGATCCATAGGAGTGCTCACAGGGAGAACAATCAGTAAAATTAAACCGCTTGAGAATTTTCTCAATATAAAGACTTGAGTCATTATCAAACCTTTGTTCATCCTTTTAATTCTTATTCCAAGAATTATATCATTATCTCACAAATCTTTCATGAAAAACTTTGATGATAACAATTTCTTTGTTTCATCCACTTGATTTTGGTCGGTATCGAAAATCAACATGTCATCTACATATAAGCAAATGATCACTCCAGCACTAGTAGCATCATCAAATCTACTATAAACACATTTCTCACATTGGTTAATCTTTAAACTAGAGGACAAAATAACATCATCAAACTTTTGATAACATTGTTTAGGCGCTTGTTTCAGCCCATACAAAGATTTTACAAGTTTACAAACCATATGCTCTTTACCGGGCATAATGAAACCTTCTGGTTGTTTCATGTAAACTTACTCGTCAAGTTTACCATCCAAAAAGGTTGTTTTCACGTCCATTTGATGAATGACCATATTGTGGATACTTGCCAAGGCAATCAACAATCTAATAGTAGAAATATGTGCAACCGGAGCATACGTATCAAAATAGTCAACACCGGGTTTTTGTCTAAAACCATGAATGAATAACCGGACTTTGAACTTGTCAATAGTACCATTAACATTAATTTTCTTTTTGGAAAATTCATTTGCAACCAAGTGGTTTAGAACCTTGAGGCAAATCAGTCAACACCCAAGTGTTATTTTCAAGAATTGATGACATTTCATCATCAATTATTTTCTTCCAAAATAATACATCTTGAGACTGTATGGCCTCTTGAAATGTCTTTGGATCATCATCAATACTATAACAATAAGATTATTGAAGACCCTCCTCATCCATTGTGCCTTCCACCAGGTACATTTGGAAGTTGAAACCGAAATTTTTCTGAATTTGGCAGTTTTGCATTTTCGTAGCTCTTGTGTTTCTGGTTCAGTAACACCATCTAAACTTTCTGGATTTTGCACTTCATTAGTGCCAAAATTTAGATCCTTAGGCCTTTGAATAGATGCAAAGCGCATCTCATCAAAAGTTGCATCTCATGACTCAATAACGGTGTTAACCGATACCGAATCATTAGGTTCAATTAGGCAGAACCTATATGCCTTGGAATGTTTAGCATATCCAATGAATATACAATTTTATTCCACGTTCTCCCAAACTTGTCCTTTTAGGATCGGTTAGTTTTACAACTGCCTGACATCCCCAAACTCGAAAATAACTTAAATTCCGCTTTTTCTTGAACGAAAGTTCATATGGGATATATTTGTTATTTTTATTTGGAACCCTATTTAATAAATAGCAGGCCTTTAACATGGCCTCTCCCCATAATCTATTGCTCAATCCCGAGTATGACAACATCGATTTTACCATTTCCTTTAAAACTCGATTTTTGCGTTCAACAATTCCATTCTGTTGGGGCGAGTAAGGTGTCATGGTCTCATGAATGATAACCACTGATTAGAAGTATATGAGATCCATATATTCACCTCCTGTATCAGTCCTAAGACACTTAACCGAATCGCCTAATTGCAATTCCACCTCGGTTTGGTATATTTTGAATTTATCTGAGGCTTCGTCCTTAGAATGTAACAAGTACACATAGCAAAACCGAGTGCAGTCATCAATGAAGGTGACTACATACTTTTTATTTCTGAAGGAAGGAGTGGAGTGAAAATCACACAGGTCACTATGTACAAGCTCCAAAATAGTCGAATTTCTAGTGACACTAGGAAATGACTGTTTTGTCACTTTTGTAAGCATGCATGTTTTACATTTATCATAAGTCATGTCAAAGGTAGGAATCAATCCATCTTTTGATATCTTATGCATCATTCTAAAGTTGATATGGACTAATCTTACATGCTAAAGCATAGATTTATCAACATTAGAAGTAGAAGATACAAATGCAAAATTTTGAATAAGTAATAATTTATCAATAATAATCAAACGAAACATTCTATTATATAAATATCCAAAACCAATAAACATTCCACCTCAAGATAAAATGAACTTATTTGACTCAGTAACTTGTTTAAAACCACCATAATTCAAACAACTAGAACTAACAAGATTCTTTCGAATCGTAGGAACAAACAAAACATCAAAAAGCCTAATAGTCCTTCCAGAAGTAAATTCAAGACACCGACACCACAAATACGTATAAAAGAATCATCTCCCATTCTCAGCACCGATCCATCTTCAAGCGGTGTTAATGTTTCAAACAATCGTTTATCCTTGCATACATGGTTCGTTGCCCCGGAGTCGACCCACCAAGAAACATCATCATCTTGTACATAAAACGATTTAGGAACGAGTGAAACATAGTAAACATAATTCTGACTAGAATTATCAAAGTTAGTCAAAAACTAACCTCCTTTAACTTTGCCCGAAGACCCGTTCACACTTCCATTGGCTCCACTGTTTCCAACACCATTATTGTTATTATTGTTGCCTAAGTTCACATGACAATCACACTTACAATGCCCCACCATTTTGCACCTCCAACAAACCAGTTCCTTTTTTTGTTAGAGTTATTTGGGACATGTTTCTGCTTACGTTTTCCATATCCTTTATGGTTCGGGTTCTTGGCTTTATTTTCAACCATATTAACAGAGGGTTATCCAGATTCATTTTCCCTTTGGTTTTATCATATTTGTCAATTTTCTTCGTACGAAGAGATTCTTCAATACGAATATGACTAGCCAGTTGAACCAATGACAGCTCCTCCTTTTAATGTTTTAGTTTATGTTTGAAATCCTTCCAATATGGTGGAAGTTTGTCAATTACACTTGACACAAGAAATCCTTCCAATATCGTGGAAGTTTTTCAATTACACTTGACACAACAATCGATTTATCCATATTCACATTGTGCAGTTTAAATTGACCATACTTACCAAGGAGTTCATTGTATTGTTTAGTGACAGGCCTTGAATCGACCATCTTAAAGTTATTAATGTCACTAACAATAAACTTCTTGCTAGAAGCGTCCTCAGTGATGTTTTTCAATTCAAGGGTGTCCCACAAATCCTCAACAGTTAAAGCATCATGATCGATATCAAATAGAGCATCAGACATACCGTTCAAGATGTGACATTTGTAGATGTAGTCGTCGTTGTCCCACTTTTGCCTCTTCCTGGTATCTTCAAGTGTCTCATCAATACCTTCCTTCGGTTCAAGTGGTCTTGGAGTAGTCAGAGCGTATGCTACCTTAAGAGTGGTCAGCATGAAGTGCATCTTCTTCTTCCAGTACCTGAAATCAACGCCTTCAAACTTCTCCAGTTTTGCGAACTTCGTGGTCATGTCGCGGATTGGTTCAACCATCTCCAGAAACAGAAAATATCAATTCGATTGTTAGAAATTGGGTAGGGTTTATGGTGGAGATCTGGATACACTTTGGATCGTGTAAACACTTTCCGAACTGATAATTCTACCCTATGCCCGGGTTACAAGAAACTCAGTCTAGGATAATCCCAAGAGGACACTTATGAATCTAGGCACAGAAAACGTAAGCCAAATTGTTAGAAGATTCTGAGTTCGTATGAAGAAAACGAGAGCTAAAAACGTCGTCCATTCTCCTCAAGAGGAGAGTCGTTTATATAGAAAACGATAAGTAGGGTTTTGTTTTAGGGTTGACCGTCATGGTTTGCTTTGGAAACAAGTCAAGGGAATCCGGAATTAATGAGGAAATCAATGGTTTCCAAAACTGACGATTTTAGTCAGTTTTACCATAACCACCCTCAAGAATTTGATTTCCACTATGTACCCACTTGTAAAATCCGAAGAGTTTTTGGGGCGCTGCCCCTTAGTCAGTTTTACCATAATCACCCTCAAGAATTCGATTATTCCACTATGTACCCACTTGTAAAATTCGAAGAGTTTTTGGGGCGCTGCCCCTGAACCCCCGACTTGTCGTCGAACAAATTTCTAATTCGAACTTATGTATGTGTGCACTTAGCACATACCCAAACATATATTAGAGTACAGATTATGAAGCCCCTTAAATCACATGTAAGTTTCAAATACACAAAATGTCCTAATGACACTAAAATCACCAACCGTGCTTATATTATATCGTCTATTATAGCTTTTGAATACTTGTATATACTGATACTAGAAGAATTATAATGATGTCTTCCTCCCGTTAAATGAGTATATAGTTTGACTGTTGTGCTTGAATAATCCAGTAACATGATTTATTGTATAGACACCACTAGTGCTTTTCAGTATCGGGCTTTATCTAAATCTTCATTAAATACAGAATGCTCAAAACATTATCTTCGCGTTCACGACTTACATCATAACATTTGGGATTGTTTTGACCTTTCCTAAATCAAATCTTCATGAAAAATAAAGCCTTTTCTGATATTATTTCAGCCATATATTTGACATTGCTTCATAATATCTACATTCATTATTACATTCATCGGTGGAGTATGAAGACAATATCCAACAAAAAACATTTACTTCACTACCACTCAAGCAAAGACCTCATAGTAAAAGAGAACCAAAAAGTGAAAAATAAAAATAAAAATAAATTATAGAATTACCCACGACCTTGACTAAAACCTAACTAGAAACAAAAAGCACTTGACCACCTAATTATAGACTCGAGAGTTTTGAGTACATCCCTAGCGCATGGCCTCGCAGCAGGATCACTATCTGTGCACTGTAAGGCAAGATTCATTATCTCAACGGTCTGATTAGGGTTCTTCAGTACTTGTACCTTAAGTGAAGGATCAACCCATGTATCCAGGTGGCAATCCGAGTAGCAGTATCGTGCCCAGTCAACTAGGTTTTCATGCAAACCCATCTCAGCATCTATGGGAGTTTTTCCTGTAAGTAACTCAATGAGGATGAGGCCATACCCATACATGTCACTGCTCTTGGTTATCTCCTTGGTATCTTTTGTCTCTGCATTAATACAAGTTAATGCTTTTAACGACTACATAAAAGAAAAAATATATATGTATATATATGAACCACTCCTCTTCGATTAAAGCATTTTGAAATTGGTTTTTTAAATTGTGATTAAAATTTGCATTTTGAATTTATAGACAACCCAATACATATATGGTCGTAAAACATTATTTACAATTGACAATCAACTAAACCATAGTTACTGATCACTATATAATTTTGTCGAAGAAAACTGCAAAGTTACAAATTTCTTGGTAATTGTTTTATAATTATTAAAAAAGTATACTACATATTGTTTCCTAAAGATTTCTTATATTAATTTTATTTTTTTAATGTCTCAACACATAATTAATGATATTTACACTGCAGGTTTTGTAATTATATAATTAGTCAAACTTTATAATTAAAAACAAAAACCAGTGGAATTTGGCCCACTTTTAGACTAAATGGCATATTGCATAATGCTATTTGATCCAAAGTTTCTCTATGAAAAAAATATTAAATAACAACTTTTGATATTTATGTAACTCATATTCATGTACTTCTATTAATTACATTTTCAGCTGATGAAATAGTTTTAAAAAGGCTTTTTATTGAAATACAATTTTACTTGTTGCTTATAGTCTAAAAAATAACAAAAGAAATGAACAATGATTTTCCAAATTCCAAGACATTCTTTGCTCTAGTTTAGGTTTTCCCAATGTTAGCAACTTGCAACATTTGAAAAGTTACATCCTGTTTGTATTTAATTTTATAAAATGAAAATATGGATTACCATGTACATATATTAAAATTTAATTTAATTAAAAAGTGTTGTTTATACTTAAAATTATTGGAAGCTTTCTGAAATTTATATCTCAAATCGATTCTTGAAATTCCTTTTTTATTTTTTTTTTTAATGGGAAAGGTGGGAGAGTAAAAAACTATAAATCTCTTCCTCACGTACAGTTGTAAAAGCAAAAAGGGAACAAAGTCGTGATGTTTTGTTGCCGCTTTGTCTACCTTGTTCAAGTCATGTATGCATGGGTTATTGCTAAAGTTCAGATAAAATAATGACTACATATGATTTTTATATGCAACGTAAATTACTTAATTAGATCATGACATAATTTTATGAACTTTATATATTTACGTAAATAATGATTCATGACATAATTTTTTCTACATGTGTCTTGGATTTTAAACTATTCATGTATGTTTTCTTACATAATACTAGTATAATAACTGTAGCAAGTTTTTTGAATTTAAAGATGTAGCTATCATATATATAAACCTGTGACAGTATATATTTTATATGGATGAATTTATTTAAGTGGAAGAAGTTCCTTGTAACATACCTGGTGCAATGTATGCTGAAGAAACCAAACACTTAGTGTTGTCGGAAAAAATCATCCCGGGAGGATTTAATCTTAGACAGGCCTCATCTTTCACGTTAACCACCACATTTTCCGGCGAAACATTACCCACAAGAATACCCGCCGGTGAACAACACCCATGCAAATAACGTATAGCTTTCCCAATTCCGATGGCAATCTTCACTCGACTTTCCCAACCTAACACCTCCATAACTTCATTTAGTTTCTTCCCTTCAACATATTCATGAACAACAATGAATCTTCCTTTCTCCGATTTGCAAATTGAGATGATTTTGATGATGTTTGGATGCCGAAGTTTGCTTATCTCATTAATTTTGAGGATGGGATCATTATTGAGGTCGACTTCATGGACAAAATATTGCATGTTTTTCGTTGCCACCACACTCTTGTGCCCTCTCAGAGACAGCAGAATGTCATCGATCGCCAGAAATGTTGAAGCTTTCTGGTCGAAGAATAGCAACTCCCATTCCCCACCTCCATCTGATGCGCTTTCCATTCTCTTAATCACCTCTTCATCAGCTTCCTTTCTTCTTTTAATATAGATGAAGACCACAATAGACATTGCAGCAAATGTGACAGCTGCCAAAGCTGTCCCAAAGAACCACCAGTTGTAGCTTCTAATTTCCTTGCATGGTGGTAAATGGGTGACCGAAGCACCCCCACATAAGTTATTTCCTAAGACAGCAGTGGAATTGATAGCCAAAAATACTCCTGTTGAAGGTAATTTGCCACGGAAATGGTTGTGAGATATGTTTACTTGAACGAGAGATTCCACATTCCCAAGGTTTTCCGGGATTTCACCGGAAAGTTTGTTCATCGACAGATCAAGATTTCCTAGAACTGGCAACCTTGAAAGGGTTTCTGGGATTTCACCTGTAAGATGATTGTAACTAAAGTTGACGCTCACCAGCTTTTTGCATGACGACAATTCTTTAGGAATTTCTCCTGAGAGTCTATTCTCGCTTATTTTCAATTCCATTAACTCGGAAAATTTTCCAAAGCTCGGAGGAATTTGACCGGAAAAATCATTTTCGGACAAGTCCAAATTCTCAAGCTTAATGCTACCGAATGAATCAGGCAACTCTCCTGAGAATCTGTTTCTTGCCAAACTCAGCATTTGGAGTTTCGGCATTTTCCATTTCCATTGGTTTATTTCCCCAGAGAGATAGTTTGACGACAAGTCAAGAAAGTAAACAAGGGGTAATGTAGTGAACTCCGGCGACAAATGACCGGATAATCTATTGTTTTGAAGACGAACCCTTTCTAAGCTCCTGCAATGACTCAAACTTGTAGGGATGCCTCCTTCAAGGGAATTGGAGAAGAGGATGAGTTTTTGGAGATGTCGGGAATAACAAAGGCTTTCAGGGATATTTCCGGTAAGATTGTTGGTAGAAAGGTCTAATACAGTCAGATTGTTGTATTTTCCAAGATCCTCCGGAATATCACCGGAAAACTTGTTGGACCATAGTTGAAGGACTTGGAGATGAGACAAAGAAGCTAGAGATTTCGGTATTTTTCCAGAAAAATTATTTGAAAACAAGTGAAGGACTTCTAAATCTTGGAACTCGGAAACGAGTTCGGGAATTTCACCTGACAGGAAATTGTCACTAACATCAAGTGACACTAACTTCTTGAGGCTAAAAATCGTCTTAGGAATTGGACCAGTAAGTTTGTTGAAGTATAGGAAAAGGTAGTTAAGGTTGGTGAGATTACCAAGTGAAGGTGGGATCTCACCAGTGAGGTTGTTAAAAGCAAGATTGAGGTGATTTAACAAGATTAACCCACCGATTTCTTTTGGGATTCCACCGGATAAGTTGTTGTAGCCCAAGTAGATGAATGTCAAGCTTTTCATATACCCTAACTCCGAAGGTACGCCACCTTCAAGTTGGTTTGATGCCAAAGTTAAATCTTTTAACCTTGTTAAATTTGAGATGGACTTCGGAATCTGGCCAACCAAAGCATTTCCACCGAGATCAAGATATAGTAGCCCTGAGAAGGATCCAATTTCGGTGGGTATTTCACCGGCGAGGAAGTTATTTGACAAATCTAACTTCTCAAGCATTGGAAGGGAACCTCCAGGAATCCAACCTGTTAAGTTGTTGTTGCTTAGGTTGAGATGAACAAGTGAAGAACAAGAGAAAACATTTTCGGGAATCCCACCCGAGAGCTGATTGTTGGAGAGATCGATTGTTTCAACATGCAGGAACTTGAATAATGATTCCGAGATTCTCCCATATAGATTCTTCCCAGAAAGATCAATTCCAGTGACATAGGTGGAGTCGGAGTTGCATGAAACGCCATTCCACGTGCAAAAAAGAGAGGAGTTCTTCCAGTTGGAGAGGAAGGACGAAGGATCATCGACGGATGCTTTGATGGATAAAAGTATTTCATGCTCATTGGCATACGTGAAGCCATCACAAGTAAAGCACAAGAAGAATACAAACAAGAACATGAAGCATATTTCCTGCGCGTTTGTTTCTCTTGTCTTCTCCATTGGAATTCGAATTGGAAATTAACGGAACTGCAAGTGTTTAATCAGTGAGAAAGAAAGATGAGACTCCACCACCGGAGCAATAGTTTGATCAATCGCTTTCTGTCATCATAATGAAAAAACATGTTAACTGATCATTGGATCCAGTGCTTCATGTATTTAATATTCAATAATGGTAAAAGTAAAAGTGATTACAGGCACACATATACCACAATGATTGTGAGCCATGCATTAAGTTTACTACACAAAAGACGACAAGTGCTCTGGATAAAACCGGAAACGTTCTTTAAAATAACATAAAAGTAATTCATGTTTAAGAATTTGGAAACTTTAAGATGAAAAGTATTTTGCAATAATGTTAACAAAATCATTGTAACTTAATTAATTAATACAACCTAATATGTGGAGGATCTTTATATCATAGACATAAAAATAATTGCATTGTTATAATTAATATAATGAAATAACAACTGCTCTTACCTTTATAACTAAGCCAAGTAAAAAAAATATTATACGATATCTCGAATTAAAACTCTCGCTTTGCAGGTGATAAATACGCAAAATAATGTATATACATTTTCTTTCATAAAACTAACGAAAGTATTAGGTTCAAAACAAGAAATTTTGAAATGCAAATAATACATAAATACACATGTATAAACATAGACATATATACGTAACGACTTAAGTACATAGACATACATACTCATACTTAATTACTTTCCAAGTAATTTCTAGCTATGGTATATACTTGAATAAAGAGATACCCTTTTAGTTTACCTTATTCCTTATAGTACGTCATTAGTCAATTCCACAAAAAGAATATTGTAAGTACATATTGTGGACCAAAAAGAGTTCCAAAATTATTAATTTGATGACTCCTATCCTATGTATAGAGGCAACTTTCTAAATTTTATTATGTGAAGAATCGAATATTCAAAGGTAAAAATGTTGCCCAATATTTAGAATACTATTAATTGTGTACACTATGTAATAAGAAAATAGTATGTGTCTCAATTTATAGATTTTGAATAATGTCACTATGTAATTTGAATGAGACGTCTAAAATGAGAAGCTCGGTAATTTAATTCTTGAGACTTGACTGAATATTAGGGGACACATAGCTAGAGAATACAGAGAGTGAATATAGTATAAGAATAAACATACCAAAATATAATGATTAGGTACTTGGAAGATCAAAGTTCATGAACATCATGAACCAGAAGAACTGAGATTGGGGAGAGAGGGGGTAAGATATGATTTGAGGGTTAGCGTTTGAGAAGTTTAGTGTATAAATAGAGTGATGGGCTACAAGTGCAGGCCAGGAGTCAAAGAACCGGAAGATGTTTGATGTGGTATAATTACCCAGTGGCCCCTTTGGACTTTGTGTTTGAACAAAGCGAAGAGTTGAACGAGAGATGCACAAAAGCAAAAGAACAGATGTGGAGGAAAGTTTAAAGATATTTTGTCGGAATTATAAGACCAAAATGCTCTTTTGACTGAATTTCGAAAGTGACAAAGGTACCCTTTAAAACGTTGGAAAGTAATTTTTTTTTTCCTCCTTTTCTAATTTTTTCGGTTGTGTGATTGAATTCTCAAACTTAAAATCATCATTATTACAATTTTACATGATTGATTTTCAAAATTATTCCCACGTCAATAACAACCTCAAATGTTTTTTTGATAGACTTAATTTAAGTAAAACTCAGGTAGTATGAGAAGGTACGGAGCATGGACGATAACCCACGGCCTCTAAATTTTTGGGGCCCATTTTTATGTATCTATTTATATTGTTTTAGAAATAATAAAAAATAAAAAAAACTTTGGTATTAAGTCGTAGTAGGTAGAGGCAAAAAAATGCCTCATTTTTTTTTATTTTGTCCGAGACCTCAAATCGACTTGAGTCGGCCTAAGTTAAACTTATTAATTTGTCATTCGATATCTTAATAATTAAATTTAAGATTTACTTAAATGAACAAGCACTATAAGAATTTTGGGCAATAGAGACGACACATGTCGCCTAATACTTCAAAATGTCGTCCATGTTTCCTAATACTTCTAGCTAGATACTCTTTATCATATTACTAGGGATGATCAAATGGATCATCGAATCAAACCAAACCGGCCTTGAATAAGAAGTGACATCGACCAGGCCAATCCTACATTATACGGGACAATTTCCGATTCCATCAAATAATTTAATACGGTTTTCGGTTCTAGCGTTTCTCGTTTCACTGATTCAACTAGACTAACTAAACCGCGAGGAGGCCAAAATGACTTAATGAGGCTAGAACTGACTTAAAGGGTCTGGAAAAATGACTTACTGGGTTGGAAAATGAATTAATGAGGTTCGAAAACACTGGCACCATAACTGGTTTAGTCTATACTGGTTCAATTCCCGGTTCTTCATTTTAGCTTCGATCGATTCCTTGTTCTCTCGCTTATGGTCTGGTTTAGGCTGCTTCTAAAACTTCTCATTCCTACACCAAACTATCTACTATTGGTTGAGAATGGTGAACTAAAATCTTATCTAGAGACTTAGAGAATGAAGGAGTTCATATAGTAATCTTGAGGATGAAAAAATAAAATTGTGTTCCACTTTAGATGTCCTTCTACATAACCAAAGAGAGAGTATAGAGATAAGGTTACATGTTGTTGGTTGCAAAGTTATTCATGTATGACTTTGTAAATGGGTTGACTTTTGTAGATGTGACAACCGTCAAATTTCGGTCAATTCAAAGTCAAACAAAGTCAACAAGTCAAACCGGTCAACTCCAATAACCCTTGTATGTTAGGGTTTACGTTATGTAATCACTATACAATTCGCTATTCTAATGAGAAATCATCATTTGGAAAGTTCATGTGTTTGATTTTCCTTAGCCTTAACAGTGCTAAACAACGAACCAAAACGATAAAACACTATTGCACAATCATCGGGATTGTGTACGACACTAAAACACGGTTTAACGGGGTTTACGAATCTTGCGTTGAGAAGTCGGACACTCAAATTAATCACAAACAAAACCTCTCTAAATCGTTTTCACTCTATCTCTTTCTATTTGAAATCTCTCCCAAATCTCTCCCAAATCTCTCTCAAAAGTTACTTTAACTTTTTGTAATCATTCGGGTCATCACGACCCTTAACCGGGTCAAAAACCACTTGAAACGGGGTAAAAACGGGTAAAATAGCCTTAAGGACCCAAAACCGAAGCTTCAGGACCGAAGCCTCGCATCCGAAGTGCTCAGGACCGAAGCCTCGGACCGAAGACCGAAGCCTCAGGTCCGAAGCCTCAGGTCCGAACCTCGGCCCAGGACCGAGCAACTTCGCAGATTCAGCCTTTTTTCCCGGTTTTCGACTACGACTTCGTTTTAACTCCGTTTTTCATTATTTTAACGTGGGATTTTCACCCAAAACTTTATTTTATAAACTAAGGCCCCAAAATATATAAATCTCCAGGGTTTTTATAAAATATATTAAAAGAATTAGTGGTTGAACTAATTATTGAGGGAATATTTGCTTTTCCTTAATTTATGGCAAAAGCAAACCACCACCACCTCACTCTATGATTAGCCACTCTTTCCCACTACCCCTTGTCTCCTTAGTGGACCTTTACACCCAATCTCCAGCTCTTCCCACGTTCTAAGAGCTGGAGGATTGATCCTCTCTCCTCATTCTCCATAAAACTCTTTCATTCTACACTTAGCAACCAAGAACACTCTCCAAAATTCTCTCATCTTTTCTCTCAACTTCAAGAACTTCAAGGCTTTCTCCAGGGATTTCTTTCTTCAATTAGTAAGTATCTTCATCATTCACATAATTATTAAACTCCATTCTACTCAAATCATTGATATCTTACACAAGTTCCATCTTATTCGGTGTTAGATTCTCGAATCATCAAGACATCTTCTTAGTGTTCTTGGGTTGAACACTTCCTCTCTCTCACTTTCATCTACTGAAACCACATAAGGTGAGTTCATACCCCTACATTTACATGTTTTTCTTAAGTTTTAAGGGGGGAATACAAGTAAAATCATCAAGAACACAATTAAACTTTTTCTAACAGATTACATCAGAAAAGATGGACGTTAATCACGGACTGTTTTGGTCAACTTAAATATTTTAGTTTTCAAAACTGTTCCAGGTGCAAGTAGTTCAAACTCTTAGCTTTAAAATGGCTACTTGCACATCTCCATATGATTTTTCTACAATTTATGGTGATTTTTACAAAACTGCCTGTCATTTCAGAGGCAAACCCGGACCAGTCTGTGATTATGAACATTTTCACCTCTGTTAGAGATCACTAAAAATCATGATAAAATTTACGAACAAACTAGACTCATATTCCAAACTCTCAAAATTTGCGGATTTGGATTTAGAGCTTTGATGATTTTTCTATAAATTTTCTAAGAACAGTAACAGAAACTGTTTTCAACGAAAAGTTGCTGTTAATTTCATTTCACCTTGTAACATGTTGAGCAAGGTGTATATCTTTATGTGATTATATGTTATTGCAATATATGACATTTTATCTTAATATTTAGACACACATCAGTTTACAAATGGATTTGGTCATATAAAATATAAAGAATAACAAGTGATTATAATCAAAGTACAATCGATACATTCAAACATTTAATAAACTATTTTGAATATAGTTTGCATACATTACCACGTACTACCCTTGGTTGATAAACTATAATAGGTATAGTTTATGATACATTACATAACACATACATTTAAAAAGGGTACATTTATACAAAGGATATTTTCATTAAGCAAGGTACGGCCATACGGTACCAAGTTTTCATAACACGTAATTCCGTTAATGACTTTGTGAGACATTTACTTCAAATTACCATTAAGTCCTGTATTGTAACCAGAGTCTCCTTGAGGGAGAGCGTGATACTTGTGTATAGATCTATATTGGGTTTGACAAACCCACACCTAAACTGCATGCAACAGTTAGACCGATAGGTCTGGGGTGACAAATGTCATAACATTTCCGACGCCTGAAGAACGTCGTTTTAGGCAACCTTGGTCATAGTATGGTTATAATAAACTCACATAAAGTATTAATAAACATTGGAATTTACGGGAACTTCATTAAAATTTAACGAGTTTATGTCGATTTAAACTTGCATTGTTTTACTATAAATATGACAAATTACTTGTACATTTCGGTCTTTGGGTTTTAAGACTACATTTACACATTAAGGAAAATATTGGATTTTCTAACACAAATACTACTTTTACAAACGAAAGGCTTTTAATAATACCAAACAAAAGCTTATGAACTCACCAACCTTTGTGTTGACACTTTTTCAAACAACTTGTATTCTCAGGAAATCATTAAACAGGTAATCAAGTGCTTTTGAGGATGGGACGCTAAGGCGTCTACTATTTCATATTTTGTCAACATATTGTAATTGATTCGTAAACATGTAATTCATACAATGATGTAACTTTTTCAATTATATATATGTTGGTTGTGTTTGCTTGAATTACTATTACAATTGTTGTTATGATACTATACATGAAGTCCTCCACCCCCGGACGTTTCCGCCATCCTTGGTTTGGGGGTGTGACAGATTGGTATCAGAGCACAGTTTATAGTGAATTAAGTATATCAAACCACATAAGATATACAAACTATAAACACAATTGGGACTAATAGTCTCTGATTTGTGCATTTTTCAAATAAATATACTCTTAGAAAATAAATGATTTTCTTGATTAAAGTATACATACATACATTACATGCTCGCATGGTATCATAACTAGCGAAAACATAAAGCAAAAGAAGAAGAGTTGAACATTTTGAGTATGCCTTAGTATATGTGGATTAAATCTGGGAAGGATATAGCCTGATCAACTATATCTGTCCGGGAATTGACTTGCATATACCGGGGGATGGTCAGGATGGACAACAAATCTAACAAACCTAATAACAGACTACAAAGGATACTTTAAGAACTCAAAACTAAACATTTACAAATACTATAGGAGTATTTTGTGTTACTATAATAAATTATCTGAGAATTAAATAGGTCTTTATTTATAGATCAATAGCTGCTAAGTGGATGCGCTAAGGTCATATGTAACTAAGATGCTATAGACTTAGAATTTATGTATCTTTGTTTCACTTCCTGTCCTTGTTTGGTTGTGGTCTTGGAGTTAGGGTCATCTATTCGAAGGACTATTATATCTTAATCACATATGACTGGTATGCACTTTGCAAC